TCGCAGTGCTTGTTTACAACCTTTGTTAATAGATTGAATAGGCTAGCCTCGTATAACTAAAATTTGTGCTAATTGTTTTAACTCTTTTATTAGGTTGTAATTGTTGGATATATTCTTATTGTATCTTAACGCTTGGCTATATACTAAATTGCTTTTTTGATGAGGGGGATGGAATGAATTATAATGCAATAGTGCTGTTGTATCAGTTGCCTTTTTGTATATTGTTGTTTCTAACTGTCCATCTAGCTTTTTGTTAATTGTTAAATCCATGAAATGAATAGAAGTGGTAGAATTATTGAAAGTAAATTTGATCGTTGGGTGGATGGCATTCATAAATTCGAAAACTTGTGTTAGTATCTCCGGAGGCCCATGAAAAATAAAAAATATATAATCTATAAAACGTTTATAAAAAGAAATCCACATTGAAAATTGGTCAATTATTTTCTCATCAATTCTTCCCATAAATAGATTAGCATAGGGTGGAGCCATACGTGTCCCCATGGTAGTACCTGTTAATTGTAAAAAATGATCAGTCGAAAATTGAAAGTTGCTGTGGGTTAGGATTGTTTCTAATATAATGTCAATAAAAGCAATAGGTGGGCGTTTAATGGGTCCGTTAAATGGCGGTGCTCTCTTTAAATAAAATTTTACAGCGTCAATACCCTTGCGATGAGAAATGTTTGTATACAGAGATATAACATCAGCCGTGACAAGAATGTAATTGTTGGTTTCTAGTACATGAGATTGAAGGAGTTTAAGGAAATGCGTTGTGTCTTTAAAGTATGCTGGTAATTGTTCAGCAACTGGCTGAATAAATTCTGTGATAAAGAACGATAAGTTATCGATTGGTCCGTCACAACCAGAAACAATTGGTCTTAAGGGAGTGCCTATCTTATGAATCTTGGGAAGGCCATAAAACTGGGGTGTACAATGGGGTGTTTTTGGTCGTAGAAACTCTGATGTTTTTTTATCAATCATATGATGAAGAAACATATAGTCAATAAGATTGTTAACATCTCTCGCTATACTTTTTGTTGGGTCTTCTGAGAGTAGTTTATATGTATTTTTATCTGATAAAAGTAGAGAGATCTTTTCTTCATAGTCAGTTTTATCTAAAATACAAATCCCCCCTCCTTTGTCGGCCTTTTTTATGATAATTGTGGGATTAAACATAAGGGAGTTTAGTGCGTGAATAAGTTTAGGAGTTAATTTTTTTTTTATCTTTCGGTAGTTGTGAGAAAATAAGTGCGGTTATATCACATTCTACCAAGTTAAGATAATTTATAATAGTTTTGTTTTTTGTCATAGGGGGAGACCAATTTGATTTTTTATGGAATGGATGCCTCATTATTTCTTCGGTCCCAAAGTAGAGTTGTTGGAGAAGGGTTGTTTTAAATCTTTCAAAAGCTGTTATGTGCATATTAAGTGACGTATTTGTAATTGAAGGAATAAAATTTAAACCCAAAATTAAGAGCTCTTTTTCATCGTCTGTTAGAACATGTTTTGATATGTTAGTAACTAGTTTATTGTAAAATAGATGTGAGAAATTAGACTTAGCCTGAATGATTTCTTTATTATATTGCCTCATGTTGTAAATGGTGTAAAATTTCTTTTTTCGTTAGCCGGAGTAAACAGCTTTCTTTGCTGATCCTAGAGAAAAATATTTTATCAAGGATACCTGTAATAACAGGTAAGAGACAAGTAGACATGTAAGAGACAATATAAAACTAGTGAAGATAATTTAAAGTCAAAAACAGCATTGAGACAGCAAACACAGTATTAAAGTTTGTGGATCCGAACTGAATGATAGACACCATTAAACGATAAACTTAATGGTAAAAAAGATGCATATAATATAAATTATTAGACGCTAGAACAATAAACTAGCAAACAATTTAATTTTTAATGATAAAACCAAACCAACAACGAAAATTTATACATCAACAAAGCATATCAAAAGTTGTGAGTTTTTAAGAATCGCTTTTATATATATTTTTATATATGAATAATAAAATGAACAATCAATCACACACGATAAGCACATATACAAAACATACAAATCTGTATATACATACCAATCTATTAAAAGAAAATATTATTTAAATAAGGATGAGTTCAAACAAAGATATATTATCTAATAAAAAAACAAAAAGCATGCAAACGATGTAAACAGGCTGTATGTGCATAAGGGTATATAGGTGTAATGTGTAAGTCTGTTCCGTTTATGTTGCTCAGTAGAGTCTTGTGTTGTTAGTAACCAGCGTAAAAGATATATCTCTGAACTACACCAAGCCAACCCAGTCATACTCCAGAAAACCATGATGGATTAAACACCTATGCATGGATTTATAACTATGACTGAAAAGCGAGCCCAGGCATCCTCCAGAGACAAACATCCTCTTTCGCGGTGACAGTAGTTGTGATATGGAAAATAGTCGTGCTCGATGACCGTAACACTAACCCTTACGGGCTAGGCCCAATATTATTTAAAAACTTTGGCATATAAAATTCGCCGAATGGTCACACACGAGCAGTGAACACCCGAGGGAAGAAATGAAGTACATTAGAATAAAGAAGAATTATTTATCGAACGAAGCATATTTTGACAGTTGTCAAGACAAAAATAAAGATTAATAGAGGAAAATTTCAAAACAAGTAAGACAGACAACACATCCAAGCAGTACTCACAATAACAATAAGAAAAAATTGTATCATATAAAAAACTAGTACGTACGAAGATATACAACAAATATAACCAAAATAAAATTTTTTTTAAACTAAAAAATTGATACACAAAAAACTTAAAAATAAAAAACAAAAAAAAAATATAAAAGACAAAAACAAAAAATATGGATAGCAATGTAAGGCCTTAGAATGGAAAAAGAACATTAATGCTAATGTGTAAACATAATTATGTAGTGATAAAGTAATAAACATCTCCTCAGAGTCGCGTCTATTATTACAGGCGTTTCGATGAGGATCAGCACTTATAACTAGTTTATCCCGTCAGACAAACGTCATCGCCACTTGTGCTTTACCCCGCGACTTACGCCTTATCCATACTGCAGTAAAAAAGGACTCACTACAAATAGCCAAAACCCCACCAACCCAAAATTTGTAAAACACTAATGTTTTTTTAAAAATATGATATGAAAAGTGTAGATAAACTGTAAAAAATAAATAAAAATAACTAAATAAATCACTTACCATACCACCGAAAGAAAACATGAAAGCACAATAAATTAAAATTCTAATCGAAACATAAAAATATAAATAAATTCAATTTAAGATCTAAAACCAGATAGGTATTAATAGCATAAATAATCCAAAGATAAACAGAAATCAGAATACCTCATTAAAAAAAAAAATTTTTTTTAATCAACAAAACAACAATAGCCTTAAATACTTATACATAATACACATAATACTTATTATTATTATCTTTTTAATATGGCGGACATTTGATTATATTATAAAAAAGTAGTTATAATTTGTATGTTTGTAAAACTAATTTTTTCTTATTTGTGTGCACGTATTTAAACATGTTATTATTAATTATTTTGGCTGAACTTTTGCACAATTAAGATTCATATAACAACAAAGACTCACTTGGTAGTTTTATTTAAAGCTTTCCTTCTCCATTTTAGTCAGAATTTAAAGTCTTTAAAATATAGGTTACTATCTACCAATTTTTATAATTTTAATTGATCAAATGCACACATTAGTCACTGTAGGCCACAAGCCATCACTCTTAGCCAAAAGAGCTACGACTCCATACTTGTGTGGAATGATGGGCTATGAAGTTTTTAGAGATTTTAGATCTGAGTACATAGTCCGTTGATCCGACTTTGTGGAGCTTCTGAATGCATAGCGTAGTCATTAGGTTATTGAGCACTGTAACCACGTCCAGTGGGATAGCCTGATGTTTATTTTGTCATTGTGGTGTACATTGGAAGAAGTCAAGGCACACAAGTCGCAAAGAATTTATTTATAATTGTTTATGCAACACAACGATTGCAAAAAGTGACCAACAGAGCTGTCCAGTTATGTAAATCTGCGAGATGTGATAATAGAATCAGATTGTAGATGATGTCATTGGGTAAGTTTCAGCAATTAATGTAAATAATAGTGTGTTTGTACCACATTTTATTGTACCACATTTATTTTAAGTCATTAATTGACTTAAAATAAATGTGGTACAATTCTTGGTCTAATCACTAAACAATAAAAAAAATGAAAACTGATAACCACCTGTGTCACAGCGAGATTTATGAATATCATTAATGTTACAAATGTATAATATAAAGCTAACAAAGCACTAAAATTCATTGATGTAAGAGGTAAAAAATGTTGGTACCATCATAACTAATTAGAATTTAGTAGTAGATGAATGGTGATCTTTCTCCTCATGAATGAACTGTGATCACCAATGAGCCCGAGACCTGCGCTAATGACACTCGTCAGGACATGTCCTTGCAACATATCTCACAGCCTGCACTCATATACACTGATTGGTGTCTTAAAGTTGTTTTATTTCTTAATTATTGTTTTCTTCCAACTGTATAACCGTTATTTTACCTTGGTTATTCAGCCTTTTTGGGAGTGAATTATAATTAAATGTGTGTGTATGTGTATGTGTGTGTGTGTATATATATATATATATATATATATATATATATATATATATATATATATATATATATATATATATATATATAAATATATATATATATATATGTATATATATATCATTTTTATTTTATTGTTATTTATTTTATTTTATCGTGTTTTTCTTAGTATTTTAATATCTAATAATCTTTAGCAAATATTTTATTTTTTGCATTGAGCTTTACTTATATTAATGTATGGATTTCTTTTTTAAATAAGTTAATAAAATATTTTGAAATTAGTTACTATGTTGAAACTTAAGTTTATTGCTAATATGTTGCAGATTAAAAAAGTATATATATATTTTGTTTGAGTAATTTACTTATATTTAGGTCAATAATGCTGGAATCTTATTAACTGGTTCTGTACAGGATTTATCTATGGAAAAATATGATTTACAAACAAATGTAAATGTAAGGTTAGTGTATTTAAAATTGTTTTCAAAGGTATTTATTTTTGAAATTCTGCTTGATTGTTGAGCATTATTATTATAGAGCTGTGTATCATCTCACTAAAATATGTATTCCTTATTTAATTGCTTCCAAAGGTTAGCATTTGCATTTTATCAACTTTTTATGTTTATAAATTGCGTTTAATAATATTATTTGCTATTTGATTGATCTTAACTTGTTTTTAGGAAATATTGTTTTTGTATCAAGTGTTACTGGGTTAAGATCAGTAAGTTGAGTTATATCTAGAAACTGTTGTATTTGTTTCAGAAGCAATAAATAAATAAAGGAAGTATGCATAAAATCGTCAGTGACCATTTTATACCCAGAACCCCTCCACCTTCTTAGTATAAATAGTCCTCACTTAAGCATTACACTTGCGCACACAATGAAGAAAACAACCAGACAATTAATTGTATAATATATTGCGAAATGAGATTAAAAAATTAATTTTGTTTTTTTTATTTCAGGCTAGGACTCATTGTGCAATGTTACTTGAATTGGGAACATTACATTTTTATTTTAAAGTTTAAATAATTGATTGCAATGCAACACATACTTTCAATAATTTAATAAGGTAGTGGTAGAGTGATTGCTTTGTAAACAAGAAGAATTGAGTTTGATCCCTTCTACATTTCTTGTAGGGACAGTCTGTCCTGGCAGATATCCAAGGAGTGCCAAATGAAAAGAAGATACCTATAAAATAAAAAAAAGGTCCTTCATCTATAATATAGGAAAATTTTGATAAACAACAGCACCAATCAGGGTTGCTGTCCCATGCGGTGTTACGGCTCTTGGTCGGCTCTCTTCTACTAATTTATGATTACTCTGTTATCTTTAAAGATATATATATATATATATATATATATATATATATATATATATATATATATATATATATATATATATATATATAGATAGATAGATAGATAGATAGATAGATAGATAGATAGATAGATAGATTATAAATAAAATAAATATATATGTTGTTAAAATGGCCATGATCATTTTACAATCGTAAAATGATCATGGCCATTTTATAAATTTTTTCATGTTTTGAAAATTTTTAAAAAACTAAGAAAAATCACTATTTTTTCCATTTTCATGACAATAAAACAAATTTAAAAAACTATTTTCTGATTGGTTTAAGATAAAGGTGGTTTATCATAGAATACTATGTTAACTATACATTTTAATCTTAACTCAAAAAACCTCCAATATATATATATATATATATATATATATATATATATATATATATATATATATATATATATATATATATATATATATATATATATATATATATATATATATATATATATATATTGTCATTTTATGTCTAACAAATTAAATCAGTATTAAAATAAAAAAAGAACTTGATGAACTTTTCTTATAAACTTACCCCACTGGTGCAATTTTGCTTTTGCTTTTTTTTTTTAATTTTATTAAAAATTTTCTATTATCTTTGCCTAAATCTTGAAGTAAAGTTTTTCTGAAATGTAAATGAGTATACTTAGACAAATCATAATAGTGGAAATCACACTTGACAAAGTTATTTAATGCACTTTTTTTCAATAAATAGAAATATATGAGAGAGAAAAAACAGGTGTAAACACACGCACACACACATTCACCTTCCCAAGACCATAAAGGTCACTACAGTAAAGGAGGCTGTTTTAGTTGTGGTTACAACTAAAATAAAATCAAACTGGGAAACTTATTGCTTATGAGCCAAGCACTCTACCGCTACATGAACTATCGCATTTTAGGAAGTAAAATTAATATTTTTAGTATCCCATAAGTATATTTAAATAGAACAATAGTAATATACTCAATTACTACTTTAATTTTTTTCCAAATTTTGAAAATAATACATTAATAGATTTTGCAAAAAAAAAATAAACAAACAAATGAAGTATCTTTACTGACAAGGAGAATATAAGAAAACATATCTTAAATCATATTCACATCAAGTTCATTCACAGTCACATAAGAAACTATTTTTTAATGGTTCGTTGTGTGTGATATATTTCAAAAAACATGGTGTGACACTGCGACAGCATACATGTGACATTCAAAGCTTGTCTCCTTGCATTTTTCAATCAAACAGCAAGATTTCTACTTGAAACGTCGATGATGATAATTTCTTAATAGGAATGACTTCTATATTTTTATTCCTTGTATCAACAAATCTTCTTTTGCAATCATAATCCATAAAAGCATCCTGATTGGGTTTCGAATTGGTCTATCTTATTTATTTTTTTCAAAAAATATGATATCATTATTCCCACTTTGAGCAGCTATTACTCATGAACCATATATTTTGTAAATTTTGCATCGCAAAGTTTTTACTCAGCATTAAATTATCTTTTAAATGATAAAACATAATTTTGGCGATATGAAAAAATTAGTCATTTTGCAAAAATTTGGAAAAAAGGCCTAAAATTGCATTTCTTGTTCTCAAAGAGCTTTCTTTTGATCATTGCTGACATGCTAACTAACCTGTGTGCAGAAGCCAAACTTGATATGGTTTTTGTCAAGGTCTGGGTGTGGAGGTATTTTCTACTGTGGGGGTGGAGGTGTTTTCTACTAATTTGACCTTATTATTGCGGCTTTGCAACTAATAATGATTTTTTTATTTTTAAAAAGTTAGCGAGTAAAAAATTAAAAATATAATTTGTTGCAAAAATAAAAACTGTACTTTACAAGCAATTATTGTTAATTATTGTTTAACTGTTACTTTACAAGCAATTATTTTAAGTTTCCAAATAAAGTTTATTTAAAAATATGTACATTAAATAAAGTTTAATGTACACTAAGAACATGTTTACAAGAAATTTAACTTTTAGTAAAAAGAAAAAGAAAAAAAATGAAAAAAGAATTGTGGTAAAAATAAGCTGATTTTTTTTTTATTAAAACTTTTTATTTAACAATATTTAGTAATATTTTTCAATACAACTGAAATGTAAGTTATTCTGTTTTTTATTATCTGAATATATTTCATTTGTAAATAGTGCTTACATCGAATGTAATTGTCATTAAAACTTTAGTAACAAACTTTTTTACAATTTAATTAATTTAAAAATTTAAATAGTTTTTTTGATATTAATCTTTCAACTATCTTAAATATTAAATTGAATAATATAAAATCGCTTAAGCCAAACTGCTTAAGTAATATAGCCTATCCTAATTGCAAGATGCTTTAAAAGATGGCCTGATACAGGAAGCCGCTATTTCCTCTTAAGAACATGTCATACAGGGTGTCTACCAGTTTTTGGAAGTGTCAGGGATTGATTCTGCAAAAAAAAATCAGGAAATAATCAGGGATTAGTTTTAATTTTTGTAAAAATCAGGAAGAAATCAGAAAAATCTTTATCAAACTTCTCTTGATACTCTTATTATGTATTGTATTAATGTTTATATATTTGCAATTTTATTTTTTTGTGATTGCAAATATATAAAAATTATTGGGGGGAGGGGGAGGGAAGCAGCAGGGGCATTTGCACCGTGCCCCCCCCCCCCCAATAATTTTTCAAATAATTAATTTGAAGTTAGTTTTTAGAAAAAAGCAAACGATTACAAATTAAAAAATTAAACAAAAAAAAGGTTAGAAAAGGACCTAATTTGTTATCCGTATTATCCGTAAGTTCCTTTGACAAAAAATTTCAACCTACTACTATTTGACCTATCCTATTTGACTATGAGAATGTCTTTTTATAAATATTTGACTACATTTGGACAACTCAAGTTTGACTTGTTTTTTGACTGTTGTTGTTAATTGTTCCTTTAAATAAAACGTTTATTTTAAAAAAATGTATCAAATAGATGTAAGTTTCATATCTTATAGCTAATAACAAACATTTAGAATAAATGTTATTAGCTATATGATGTGAAGCTTGTTTTCTATAAATACTATCATGGTCACTGCTCGTTTGAAAAGTGAAAGAGAAGCAATGTTACGACGATGGAACAGTAGTTGGGCCTGCTCTATCTACCAAACTTGTTAGATAGAGCAGACCCAACTACATTTGGGATGCCTTTTTAGACCTTGTTTAGAAGAGAAAGAACATTATTAAAAGAACCAGCCCAATTATGACAACAGTATTCCATAAAGGGACAAGTAAGAGATTTCTAGAGGTTCTAATAAAAGATTTCTAGAGGTTCTAGAAATTTCTAGAGGACAAATAAGAGATTTCTAGAGAGGAGTAAGATAATCACAAGCACATTAAAAAGGGACCTTAGCAGATGCTAACTTAGCAGTTGATTGTTTATATGGTTTCCATGAGAGGTTGATTGTGAATGATCTAAAAAGATGTAAAATAAAAGATTCAATTAGAGGGTTGCCATTCATCAATATAGGAATTTCAACAATATTTCAATAGTTATTTGCAGTAAATAACTGTTAAAATAGTTTTGTTAGAGTTAAAATTCACAAGCCACTAAAAACCTTAATCAGTTTAAGTGAGATCAGATTCAAGGTTGTGTGTCTGTTTTAAGCAGTCGAAAATTGAAGACTTTTTGTCAAGGCAAGAGCATAATGTTGAGTTGTTAACTAATAGAGCCACTTTAGATGTAAGATTGTCAAAAAGATTGTTAATGTAGATAAAAAACAACAGGATCAAGGATAAAACCTTGATCCTGTACCTCAGAGATTCCTCGAAATAAAGATGAGTGTTCAAGTGAACTAAAGATGAGTGTTCAAGTGAACTAAAGATGAGTGTTTCAACAATGACTTTAATGCTACAGTTTTTTTCCTTTTAAAGCGATTATTAAATTTTTAATTTGTGAGTACATGAATAGTTAATACGTGAATTATTAATACATTAGTCAAGCAATGCATAAGTTGTTAATACATGAGTCAAACCATAGGATACCTTCTGTTGCATTTGAATGTTCAAAAACAAATTCTCAATATTTTTATCAAGGCTGATGCAATACAGACAGCTGCTCTGTATCTACACTCTACATTCAATAAATTTTGTTATTTATAGATCAGTTCGATTCGATTTTTTTTGGTTCGGTTTTCACCGAACGAACGGTTAACCGCATGTTTACCGCGTGGCCTTAGGAACAGTGAGATAATAAAGTTTTGTTTTGTAAAATGTGATTACTTTAGGTAAAATGTGATTACTTTTTTGTAAAATGTGATTACTTTTTGTAAAATGTGATTACTTTAGGAAGATTACCTTTTTCATATCAAAACATAAAACAACTTTTTTGATTATTACTTATCCTTTCTTGATAAGATGATGCTAGAATTATCCTATCTAGCTTCATATTATTAAGATGATGCTAGAATCATCCTATCTAGCTTCATTTTGATAAGATGAAGCTAGAATTTTTTTTTATCCATACATCTATTATATTTTCCTTGCAACAGTGAAACAAGATAGAAAGCAAAATGAGCAGCACTTCTGTTTAGGAATTACATTACATTATTGATAAGCTCACTATCTAGAATTATAAAATCTAAGTATTTATAAACCTGTAAGTTAAATATTTATAAACCAGTAATCTAATTATTTATAAACCTGTAAGTTAAATATTTATAAATCAGTAATCTAAATCATCTAACAGTTTATAACGTGGTAATTTCTACATTGAATGAAAAGTGATTTTAATTATGCAATTGAAAATTTTTATCCAAATGTGTAAATGTACCTGATGAGGAAAATTATAGTTTTATTGTAGAAGAAAATATGCCAGACTAGATAAGAGGGTTTGTCACACGGAAGGAATGCATGAAGAAATAACCGAGTATCATGTGTTTCAAAACTCAATCGGAAAATATGAAAGAATAACTTTTAACGTAAATATAGATGGGATAAAGTTCTATAAAAAAACTTTTTTTAAATCATAAAAAACTGAACTTTGATATGATATATTACGCTATATATTTTGCTGACAAAAAAATTCTAGAATACTGATTTGATTTGTTCATTAAGGGAAGTATTAGGACAAAATGAGCCCACTTAAAAGTAACTATGCAAGATACATTATACCGGTGAATTGAGTGATTCTGATTTATTGCTGTTTTTATTTTTTTGTTTAAATTTAATATGGCAAAGTAATTTTTAATTTGCATATAAATTTGTTTAACATCTACGCAAGTAGCTTGTGAGCGAAATTTTTTTAAACTAAAACTTATAAATAATTAGATTATTAATTGGATTAAATGTTTTTGATAATAATATAGAAAAACGTTTAATTGTTTAATTTTGATAAATATTTAACAGATTTAATAACAATTTAATAGTAAAAGACAAAATTGGACAAAAAAACAGATAAAAAAAATACTCCGGGTATAATTAAATACTTAAATAGTTAATACTTTTTATTATGTTATATTACTGTTATAATTCTAATTTAATTAGAGTTTTATGGATTATGGAATAATAATTAATAAACGAATAGTTATACATTTAAAATATTTTAATTAAGCTGGTTCACAGTTTTGATGGGTCACTTTAATTTGTCATTTCTTACTGTTCATAATATAACAATTTTTTTCTTTCAGTTTCCTAATGTTGCAGCTTATTGCATGTCAAAAAGTGCAATAGACCACTTTTGTCGTTGCTTAGCATTGGAGTTAGCACCACAACAGGTTAGAGTGAACTGTGTTAATCCGGGAGTCATCAAAACGGAATGTCATTTGCGCTATTCTATGGATGAAGAAAAGTATAAAGAGGTTTTAGCATATTTTGCATACTTTTTGCATACTTTCATGAAATTTTCTTAAAAATTAATTAGTATTGTTTTTTTTGAAGGTATTTTTAAGAAAAACTCTATTGTTTTTTGCTTTGTCTTGTGATTTCTATGGATTTAATTGATTTGAATATATATTGCTTTATGGAAGAATATATTTTCTTCTATTTCAGTTTTTAAAGCATGCAAAAGAAACACATGCTTTAGGAAGGTATGGCGAAGCAGAAGAAGTAGCCAATGCGATTGCGTTTCTTGCGTCAGACGGTGCTTCGTTTATTACTGGAGCTACTTTACCTGTAGATGGCGGGAGAAGTGTTATGTGCCCTAGATGATTCTAATGTGTTTTTATTTTTAGAAACTACTTATAAATGATAACTTTAGTCAACAAAAATAAATTTTAAAAAAACTATTTTATTTGCATTTTAAGCAATTATTTTATAGACGCAGACGTTACTATATATAATTAATATATAATTATATATAGTAATTATATATTTTATAGACACAGACTCTCCGTTTGTGATATATCGCTTACGGACAAAAAAGCTATGGGCGGAAGTTGTGCTTTTTAAATTTCCATTTATTTATTTTTTATGTATCACTGGGTGAAGTCACTCCGAACTTTTGTATCTACCTATGTCTTTACCTATAAATTTTATTAATTTTTTGTGCAGATATTTTTATTATTATTCGGGCTTTCAAGGGTTTCAAGCAAAAACAAGTTTTTCTTGAAAAATAAGTTATACTTTGAAACAATATTAATATTAACTAAATAACCTGTATTTTAATAAATTAGTCGACTTTAAAAAATCGAATAGTCGATCTAATCGACTAATATTGATTCCCGTATTTTGACTAAATCAACTTTTTAAATTGACTTTCAAAAATTTGTTAATCAGTTACGGTCGACTTTAGAAAAACGATTTTTCGACAGTCGTAACACGGCTAGTTTTTAAACTAAAACTTTTTTCCTCAAGAATTCGACTTGAACATGTCTCTATGTTCTCTCGAATTCCAGCATTCTATTGCCCTTTTTAAATTTAGTTCGATTTCTTTGTGTATTTCACTCTCCGAGAGAGCAGTTTTCACTTTCTTTTTAATATGTATCAACTTTTAAAATTGATTTAAAAGTTTTGATTTGTTTATTGAGTATTTGAAGGCCTTCATATTGTTCAAAGAACACTTTGGTCAGTAGGGAAGCAGTTGAAATAAGAACTTACTCTGTGGTTATTCATTTTAATGATAGCAGTATAGTTATATAAGATGTTTTAAAGGAATTTAATTTGACTGGGTATATAAAGTAATAACATCTACACAGTTTGAAGCAAAAGTAAAAGACGACACCAAAGTGCAAAAAGCTAAGAAAAAGATCAATAGCCAAAGAGTTTCACGAAATGAAACAAATCAGGTTTTATTTAGAGATTAAATAGAATTTAAATTTTAAATGTGAATTTTACAACTTTTAGTTTTTATAATGCTAGGATAACATGAGATCTTTATATTATTAACAGGAATAGGACATGTGTTTCTGAAAATAGAGCTGTGTTTCTTATTAAGAAAGATTGTACAATATCCAAAGAACCATTGCTCGCTCAACATTTTATACAAATAAATTCGGCAGAAAAACTACAGTTGGGTTAAAAAGTTTAAATTTCTTAATAAGTTGATTTTGTGGAGAGGCGATTTTCATAAAGGATAGAGTTATAAAGTTTAAATTTCAGAAAAATACAATATTTTTATATGCGGTATTTTTTACTTTTTACTAAAAATCTATTGATTTTATTTAATAATGATTAACAATTAATGCCATATGAAGTTTACTAAAAAAAAAACTTTTTTATTTGAGCTTTTTTGAATTTATTACTTTTTTTTTTTGCTTATTTATAACATTTGCGTAACTCTTGCAAAGTAGAGTAGCCGTGGCGCAGTGGTAGTGTATTTGCCACAGGAACGTTAGATCCGTTGATTATTATTAAAACGCCAAAACTTTGTCAATTCTTATCGAAATGCATAAAACTTGGTATCAAAAGAAAGGTCTTACAAAGAGCAATATGTAAATACAAAGGGTGTACGAAGAGCGCTAGAGGGGCGTCTACAAAACCCTTTATTATATTGAAAAATGTAGATTTTCGAAAAGAATATACTATTATTTAATTGAAATTTATAATTTTTGTTTGTATTTTATAATATATTCTAACAGGGTACCATCAAATATGATTTGGACACTTTAGGTTGATTGAATAGAATAGGCCTTTTGGCTTCGGGCGCACCCTCTATAGCGCTAGCTACCCACTATCAAGTATATTACTTTGTATCTTCTTGCATTACTTTAAGTTCATTACTTTGTCATCTTCATGCTTTAAATGTCTAAATGCATGCAATTTAGCATCAAAATAATGATTTCAGGGATACAAAAATAAATATTCAAAAAGATTATATACGAAAATCAACTTAATAAATATATACATACAAACTATACATACACCTATCAATAAGTGTATATAGATTCAGCTAAGTGAATCTATATAAACTTATTGATAAGTATATGTATAGCTGTTAATAACTACATTCTACCATCTCTTCTACCACCAGGAGGTTTGTATTTAAAATAAGGCAGGTCTTTACCTCCATTCTGGGCCCATATGCGAAAGGCATATGGGCCCAGAATGGAGGTAAAGAATTTTAATCCTACTAAGAATTTCCTTTCTTTTAACTAAAAAAACGTTTTTGAAATTATTTTCATTGGGTAAAAAACCATTAAAAAAAACAAATTTACAACTCCATTAAGATATATCATAAATGAAAATATCACGCATCTAGTTAGGAATGATTTATGAGTTTCTGACGGCGATAAAGAAGTTTTATTTATTGAAATTAGAAACAAAACATCTAAAAATATATTATTAAGCACCTGCTATCGACCACCTGACGGCGTGAGCGTGAACTTGAGCATTTTTTTTTGAACAAAATATCTTTAAAAAAAGCTTAGAAGAAAACAAAAAATGTTTTATTTTTGGAGATCTTAATATGGATTGCTTTACTTATAATAAGGGCAATAAAGTTAAAAACTTTTACGACTCAATTTTTGAAGCTAGAGCAGTTCCTTTAATTAATCGCCCAACTAGGGTAACTAAAAGCTCAACGTCTCTAATTGACAATATCATTACAACTGATATCTTTAACAATGACATTCAAAAAGGCATTTTAAAATCTGACATTTCTGATCATTTCCCAGTCTTTCTGACTCTTAACTCAAACGCTTCGATTAATAATAATAAAACAATATTTATTCGAGATTTTAATCTAACCAATATGAATCTCTTTAAAAATCAGTTATCTCTTTTGCACTAGGATCATATTAATTTCAAGGGGAATGTTGACACCATTTATGAGACCTTTTTTAAAACATTTTACGCCGTATATGATGCAAACTTTCCAATTATTGAAAAAACAATTAAAATAAAAAATTTTAAAAACCCTTGGGTTACCAAGGGTTTCAAAAAGTCATCTAAAACAAAACAGAAGTTGTATATAAAATATCTTAAAACAAAATCGTCTAAAAATGAAAAAATATACAAAGATTATAAATATTTGTTCGGAAAAATTCTTAAACACCTAAAAAAAATATTATTACTCTAGAATATTAGACAAATTTAAAAATAACTTTAAGCGAACTTGGCAAGTAATAAAAGAAATTACTGGCAATAAATTACATGCTCAAGTTCCCTCCCCCAAATGATTATAGTTGATAACAAAAGTATTTATGAATCAAAAGCTATATCTAACGAATTTAATAAATACTTTATTGAAATCGGCCCTAAGTTAGCTAATAATGTTCCCTTTACCCCAGTCGCATTTAATGATTTCTTAGTACCAAAGGATGATTGCAACTGTTCCAAAGAAATATACTCAAAATTATCTTTTGATAAATTCCAAATCGCCTTCAAATCACTAAAAAAAAAAGCTATCGGAGCTGATGGAATAAATGGTGACATAATTATCGAGTGTTTTAATCATCTCAAAAATATTCTTTATAAAGTTTATAAATCATCTGTCCACCAAGGAGTTTTTCCTGATCGTTTAAAAATTGCAAAAATTATTCCAATTTTGAAAGAAGGAGACTGTTGCAATATCAGTAACTATCGCCCTAAACCTATCCTTTCTACCTTTTCAAAAATCTTAGAGCGTATTATGTACAATAGAGTATACAATTATCTTGTCTCCAATAACCTTTTTTTATTATAATCAATTTGGTTTCAAAAAAAATAATTCTACCGAACATGCAATCATCCAATTTGTACGAGAAATCTCAAATTCCTTTCAAAGATCCCAATATACATTAGGTGTTTTTATTGACTTGTCGAAGGCTTTTGATACTGTCGACCATGAAATCCTTCTTGATAAACTAAAGTACTACGGATTAATCTATATAACTATAAAATGGCTTCGTAGTTACTTATCAAACAATTTATTTTTATTAATAAGTATAACCAAAGCCATCTACAAAATATTTCCTGTGGTATTCCCCAAGGCTCTATCTTGGGGCCACTTTTGTTCTTAATGGCCGGGGCGATAGGGGTGTGTGAGGGGGGGTGAGACCCCCCTCCCCCCATCAATGATTTTTAGTCGGCAAACTGGACCCTTAGTCGGCAAATCGGACCTTTTTAGACTAGTTAGTCAGCAAATGTCGACCCGACGACACCAACTTATTTCTGACCAATAATGACATATCCAAACTCTTTTCTACAATGAATGATGAACTCAAAAACATATCTACTTGGTTCAAATGTAACAAGTTAACTCTTAACATTAATAAAACCAAATGGGTTCTTTTCCATTCACTCTCTAAAAAACGCTATTTACCCCAACATTATTTCTGACCAATAATGACATATCCAAACTCTTTTCTAAAATGAATGATGAACTCAAAAACATATCTACTTGGTTCAAATGTAACAAGTTAACTCTTAACATTAATAAAACCAAATGGGTTCTTTTCCATTCACTCTCTAAAAAACGCTATTTACCCCAACATTTGCCCAAAATATTTATTGATAAAGTTGAAATAAAAAGAGATTTTGTTACTAAATTTTTAGGAGTGGTTTTCGACGAGAACATTACATGGAAACCGCATATAAAATATATCTGCTCAAAAATATCTAAAAGTAACGGAGTCTTATATAAATCTAGATCATATTTAAACAAAAAAGCCTTAACCCAACTCTATTATTCATTTATTCACACCTATATTAATTATGCCAACATTGCGTGGGGAAGCACCGAAAAAAGTAAGCTAAAATGCCTTTTTCGCCGTCAGAAGCATGCGATCCGATTGATTAATTTTGCGGATCGTTTTACTCATTCCAAACCATTATTTATGGAGATGAAAAAATTAATATTTACGAGCTC